TTGGAGGCCATTTCGTGGTTAATTTGTTTAACACATTCACTGTGCCCCACAGCAGGTCAGGATTTGCATAGTAACCCCTCCTTCCATTTCCCTTTCCCCTTCTTGGTATTTGGATTGCCATGTAGATAGACATCTAGTAAACACTGTTTCAGGAAGAGAGGTGTAGGAGGGAGAAAGATTACTAGCACTAGAGCACTATTATGGAAATGTGAACTCTTACACAGTGATGCAAGCCTGAACCTAATAATGAAACAGCTGTTTGAGGGTGCAGTGCCTTACATGTGGATACATAATGTGTGCATTGCATTTTCTTTTGACTCTGCCAGCACGACGTGCAATATGGCTGTCTAAATGCTGTAACTGAAAATCCACAGACTCAATCCCCTGAAGACCCCCTGTCGACTCTCACAGCACTGGATAAGAAAGAGCGGGAGCTAAAATGCCTCGAGTGTAATATAAAAATGTGCTGGCACTCCCAACTTTCCATTGTGCTTTTGTGTTGGGCTCCTGCATTGTTGTAGCACTTGTGCAAGGCTCACTTTCATTTATTTATTATTGCTGTAGGTTTTCTAATTTTGCTCATTATAATCTTGCTCAAGAAACCAGTTTGCGGTCTCCTCGAGAGGAAAAGACACACGCAGGCCTGCAGGGAAAACAAGTCATATAAACAGTGCAGTTTATGCTCTGACCAACGGCTATGTAGAAGTCTGAATGCCTGCTATTCACTCACTCTGACCAAAGCAAACAGCACATATGACTGAGGTGTACACACACATACAGCTGTAACTAGGTTACAGTTAAGTCACACCCCATAATACTCCTTTTCTGCACAAAAAATGCAGCCATAGGGTGGTGCTACAGTTATGTTCAGTCCTAATGATAGCTTCTGTCACAATGTAGGCTGCATGATGAGAATAAAGCCTGACAGTATGAGGGCTGTAAAAGTTTGTGCGTGCTGACACTCCTATTACAACACACTAGAGTGACAGATGATGACATTTGCTTCCTACTGTGAGTGACTCAATGACATGAAGGCCCTGGCAATTTAAAAATAGGCTACAAAATGAACAAAATAGTGGAAGAGAAACGAGGGAAGCTGTAATTCAACTTACTAATAGCCAGGTGTCATTCGCAGGATGCGGGCTATCCAACTGTGCTCAGCCGGATTCAGGCAGCATTGGGTGACCGCTGGTGCTGCTGGATCGGTGGCCGGCTCAGCTGAGGAGAGTCGCACCCATCTGTACCACCGTCACCGACGACTACGACGAGGGAGCTCCGTCCTCCGCCTGGGCCCCCTCCACCCTCTCTCTGTCTCTCTCTCTCCCCCCTATATCTGTGTCCCCACACCGCTCGTCTGTCCAGACTTCAGCGGCTGATAGCGCACTTTGGACAAGCTGTAAACTCCCTCTCCTCTTCTCTCCTCCTCCCTCTTTATCTCTCTCTCCTCTCTCTCTCTCTCTCTCTCTCTCTCTCTCTCTCTCTCGCGGCCGCAGTTCCTGCATGTTGTGCAC